TGAAGAAAAAAAGAGAAAGAATGCATTTGATTGTGGTTAGAGAACACAGAACCACAGAACCGCACAGGACTACCCAGCATTAAATGGATTGTTAGTGGCTGTTTTTTAGCATGCAGTTTAGCATATGTATTTAAAGTGTTAAAATTTTCAATATATTTTCTCCAGAAGCCTGAAAGAAGAAACCAAAATATGGATTTTTCTCTTATAGTATGTTGAGCTTAGACAGTGTTTTGACATTTTGTGAAATTTTGTAAATGAAGAAACTTATTTCCCAAGATGTTCAATTAGATCCACAGGGAATGAGAGGGATCCACTACACTGACGTGAACAATTCTGTAATTCTCACCCCCTCCCACACCCCTCGTGTGACTTTCACTGGCTACATGGAGCTCTCCATATGAAGGCAAAGAGCTGGCTATAGTCCAAGGAAGTTGGTTGGTTGAGATATGGTCACTGTGACTTCCTTCCCTGGGACACTGGACTAGGAACTGAGAGAAAGAGCATCCTTTCTCCACATAAATGGACATGTAACACGCAAACTTGAGAGCTGTTCATCATCATGTTTTCCAAGATGCAGATGGTAGAAACAAAATGCTCAAATTTGTAAAGGTGAGAAGATAAATAAACAAGAGACAAAGGGGAAACAGTGAAGTTCTGAGTTTCCTTTGGTTGATCTGAAGAGACATCCTTTTAAGACATATAAAATGATCAGTCACTTCTAACCTTCCCGATTCCTGACAACCAAAGACTGACTCTGGTACGCATCCTGCATTTATATTGACAGATTCCTCAACAAACCCTTTTCTTCTTTCCTCTAAGATTGGAAGGAAAACTTTTCCACCTTCCTTTTCATACTCTTCACTTATTTTATCGTATGGAAATTTTCGTTGCAAAAAAAATGCAGACCTGCTGGAGCTAGCTTAAGAGAAAGGTACCAGTTCTAACGAAAATACCGGTTGTGTCAAAAACAAAAATAAACAGTGGCAGCTTTAAGGCTTTCTCTCCCTCTGACCTCTGTTTTTCTCTGCTTTAATCTTCTCTTTATATGCAAACTTGAACTTGAAGCATGACTTTTTTCCTTTCTCCTTTTTATATTTGGGAGAATATGGACATCAATAGTTCCTATTTTTGCATGTTCCATGTCCCTCTCTCTGGAGATATGTTCTTCTCTCATTTTCTCTCTCATTCTATTCCAATTTCCTAAGGAAAGGAATTGCATTGGCTCATGTCTAGGCCGATAATATACGACCAGGTAAGAAGAGTCCTGCTGTGTGGAGGAAACAATAGAAAATCCCTACCAAAGAGGCCATGTGTTCAGAAGTGAGGTGAGAATAGCAGTGTCTTGAAAATTGCTATTAACTTGGGAGTCAGTTATGTACTTCTCCATTCTACCTGTCTACCTTTTATTTGTATTGCGATGTGAAATGCCTACCCACACAAAATGTTTATCTTACCTCCCTTACTCAGGACAGACATTGCTAAATTTGTCACGATGCCTTCTGTTATGAAATTCAGATGCAGTCATCAAATCCTGCATGGCAGAGGGCTCCAGGAACCTATTCCAAATCCAGCGGCATGCGAGGTAAATTCAATTTCCCATCTCTTTCTTTTCTCTTTCTCATTATACCTTCCAACCATTCTATAAATATCATAAAAAGTAGCCACACTGTGTGAGTAATACAATAACTATAGTTTCCTCACAGTAATCTGAGAAGATGTTTTGGAGAAACAAAAAGATAAGGGATATATAAATACTTTATATTCTTGTGTATTTCAATGTCTTAAAGAACATTAACATTGCTTATTAGAATTTTATTTTCTAAAATTTCAAAAATTTCTAAGAGCCAAGATATCCTAAGCAAACCTTAAATCTATTTTATTTTTAATATCACTAAATTCTCTGAACATTGATCATATATAAATTTACATTCTGCCTTTTTTCTGATTTTCATGCTCAATGAGTTTCCCATTGTCAATTGTATATAAAATATTTTAGTTAAAATAATCAGTGCTATTATACATTTTAAAAACAAAGTATCATAACTTTGTAACATAAGATTTAAGTGATGTAATAATATTTTGGTATATTAAACTCATCTTCACAAAGAATTCGTATTTTGGGGGTATATCATCTACTTCCTGTTTTTTAGGAAATCATCTTTCTTTCTTTATTTCTCTTTCTTCCTCCCTTCCTACCTTTTCCCTCCCCTCCTTCTTTTCGTTCCTTCATCTATCCCTTTGTTAGCTCTGTCTGTCTCTCTGTATCTATCCTACTTATAATTGTTATTCCTAGCCCCTCACAACATAACCTCTCTTCTAATCATCTGATGGTACAGCCCCTGCATTCGTCTCTTCTAGTCACAGTGGTCAGAGAGAGACAAGGAAATCAGGAACTTGAACTATTGCAGTTCTTGTGGAAGAGAGTGTTTTTCGTAGGATCATTTCTATGTGTGAAACAGCACATGTTTTCATTATGGAAATGGATATAATGGAGCCAATCCATTAATTACAGAACATAATTCATATTTTATAGAGAAGTATTGATTATTATATGATATGACAGTAATTTGGAAATAGCAAAACAGAAAAAATGAAAATTGTACTAACAATTCAGTGTGTTACTTTGAGTAGTCTTGGACTTTTTATATAACAATACTATGGAAGATGGGAAGATTCAAGAAATACTACACTTATTGTGAGGATAAGGATAAGAACATCTCCTTATTTTATCCAAAATTGCAAGTAAACATAAGCTAAATTAGTATAGTAGAGTTTAGATATCATAGTCAAAATTTTCTAGCAAAAAAAAAATCATTTTAATATGCCTTCAGGAAAATAATATTATTTTCAGACTAAATATTTCAAGCCACCAAACTATTTTGCCTATTGCAACAATTGTTGTGAAAGTGTGAGAGTTTTTAGGACAACGTGTGAAAACTAATAGGTATTGCCATATATGCTTTGTCAAATTTGTTTTTTTATTTTATTTTATTTTTTGTTTATTGTGGTAACTTTGGTTTATCACATTATATAAATTTCAGGTGTACATCATTATACTTCTATTTCTGCATGGATTACATCATGTTCTCACGTTCACCACCCAAATACTAATTACAATCCATCACCACACACATGTGCCGAATTATCCCTTTCACCCTCCTCCCTCCCACCTTCCCCTCCGGTAACCACCAATCCAATCTCAGTCTCTATGTGTTTGTTTGTTGTTATTATTATCTACTACTTAATGAATGAGATCATACTGTATTTGACCTTCTCCCTCTGACTTATTTCACTTTGCGTAATACCCTCAATGTCCATCCGTGTTGTCACAAATGGCTGGATTTCATAATTTCTTATGGCTGAGTAGTATTCCATCGTGTATATATACCACATCTTCTTTATCCATTCGTCCCTTGATGAGCGCTTAGGTTGCTTCCAAGTCTTGGCTACTGTGAATAATGCTGCAATGAACACAGGGGTGCGTGTATCTTTACGCATTGGTGTTTTCATGTTCTTTGGATAAATACCCAGCAGTGGAATAGCTGGATTGTATGGTAGTTCTATCTTTAATTTTTTGAGGAATCTCCATACTGTTTTCCATGACAAGGATGCCCACTCTCACCACTCCTATTTAACATAGTATTGGAAGTCCTATCCAGAGCAATCAGGCAAGCAAAAGAAATAAAAGGGATCCAAATTGGAAAGGAAGAAGTGAAACTGTCACTATTTGCTGATGACATGATTTTATATATACAAAACCCTGAAGAATCCACCAAAAAACTTTTAGACTTGTTACTTGCTCTGTAAAAGACCAAAAGTCTTTTACAGACTTTACTGTCTTTGTAATAAACAAAGACAGTAAAGTTGCAGAATACAAATTCAACATACAAAAATCAGTTGTATTTCTATACGCCAACAATGAAGTAGCAGAAAGAGAAATTAAGAATACAATCCCATTTACAATTGCAACAAAAAGGATAAAATACCTAGGAATAAACTTAACCAAAAAGGTGAAAGATCTGTACACTGAAAACTATAAAACATTGCTGAAGTAATTGAAGAAGACAAAAGGAATGGAAAGATATTCCATGCTCTTGGATTGGAAGAATTAACATAGTTAAGATGTCCATACTTCCTAAAGCAATCTACAGATTCAATGCAATCCCTATCAAAGTTCCTACAACATTTTTCAGAGAAATAGAGCAAAGAATCCTAAAATTTATGTGGAACAACAAAAGACCCCGAATTGCTAAAGGAATCCTGAGAAAAAAGAAC